TAAACTCCCTTTTTATATATCACTCACTCGATTACACCACCATTCCCAGTTTGCCCCTGAAGAAGAAAGATCCACCTTTCTAAAGCGCTCTGGTTATAGGATTTTTATTCACTTCTGTCAAGACTTCTTGAACCTACGTGTTTTTCTAACATCATTAATGTATTCAGAAACTATTGATAGCAAAAATAATCGTGTTAAACAAATAATATATTTAGAAAATACTGTAACATTAATTTCAGACATAAACGAGCGTTTGGCTTAAAAATTTAATGTTTTATCCAGTGCGCACCACGTGTTCCAGAGGGTGTACTACAATTGCGTAACAGTAAAGTTGTCACGTGATCCTTGTTTAAATTTAGTAAGAAATTTGAAATCGTACGTTAGTCTTCATAAATGTCTGTACGAAAACCCAGCAGGGTTTAAAAAAAGCTTCAAGTTTGCAAGTAACATTTGAGCTAACAGTAAAGTTAATAAAACCGTAGTTTCAAAGTCATACTAAAACAGGTAGATGTAAGGACCTGAATAAATAAATGTTAGGTTAGTGTAGGATGATAAACAATATCAGCTATTTGATGACGAGGAACCCACATTCAGACTAATAATAGTTGGTTCAAGCCGTCTCCAACCATTATTAATATCAGCTATTGTATTAATATTACGGAACCTCAACGTTAACTTCGAGATAACAGGAAATAAGTTTCATTTAAATGTAAATGAAAAACGAATATTATTAAACCGAATGATTTGAACGTCTTGAATTTTCAACCTGCACGTGGACTACACGGCAAAGCATAAGATCCCTAGTGATCAGGTACAGCCTTAATTTTAAACTGCTGCCCAGCAGCACATAAATGCTGTCATGGTATTTGAACTGAATTATTATTTGCTGAAAGTGTATTTAGCGGCATCATGTCTCCAACCTCAACACACTAATCATGTGAACATCTTGAGCTTTGAATGAAAGCAACTACTGCACTTTAACTTACGGAATTACCACATCTTTAGACTACTTTTACATGAAAAATATATATATACCTTAATTGTATTATGTGTGATTATAGGCACGTTTGCAAAATAAAATTCAAATAGAAACATGCACACCAAATTATTTTTCCATTTTTAATATCACTAAGCAAGAAACATTTTAAATATAATTTTTCCAACACACCATGTACAATTAAAACATTAGTTCATTCATCATAAGAAAAGCCACCATTCTGAGTAAGAGATAATTAACAAATCTGTTTTTTTTTTTAAACAAATACTGGGCTTTAATCCTAAGCACACAGATTTTAAAATGTAATGACTGTAATGTCTCTGTTTTGCAAGTTAATATAATCAACACATTGGGCAAAAAAGATAATTGCACAGATTTGTCTGAAAATATCTCTTGCAATACAACTTACCATATCTATCATAAAAGTACTCAGCAATTGTTGTAATATACATATTATTGGATACCAAGACTTACATCATTATCCTGTTTTGTAACAAATTAGGTAAGAATGTATAACTCAGACTCATACAACACTGACTCTGTGACTACGAATAAGCATATTTTGGAACAATGGAGATACTAGAAATTGTAATTGGATAATTTTTGAAATAAATATTAGGTTACCTTTAATTTTAATAAATAAATCCATTTTTGTGTTCAATTACGATACCATTTCTTTTTTCTGATAAAGAGAGAGTCCAACACCTTACATATTTATGTTTAGTCTTTTGAATAACAGATGGCAATAACAAAAGTCAGATTGAAAAGTTCAAAAAATGCTTTCAAATTAAATGAGTAATACAAAGCTACAAGAAAGTAGTATGTAAAACACTTTACTTAGTTGAATTTTTGAAAATTACTTGAATCTACACAGTTACCAATAGTTTTATATTGTGATTAACATTCTCATGGATCTTGTTTTAAATAAAAGTTCTTTAAACCCATATCTACTACATATTAATATCCTCGTGATTACTTAATATTTTACACTACAAATTAACAAACAATAAAACGCCCAATTCCATGTTAGAATACATAACTAATGTGCAAAATTACTAAATACCACTAATTTTATTTACTATAATAAGATCCTTGTGTTACTTTCTGATGGATATAAGGCTGAATCCAAATTTTTGATCAGAACTGGCTACTAGTTATTCCTTCGCTAGTGTTGCAATCCTGTTAGAAAAAAGAACTACGACATATATTTGACATTTGAATCTTCTATGAAAGCTGTTACTCTTTAGTACATTCTTTTCACAACCATAATATATAAAAATCAAACTTAACTTTTTCAAGTTAATTCATTATTTGGTTTTGATAAAGTAATATTGTTCTTCACGTTTTAATCCAAATTCATTAAAATTTACATTTTATATAATAGTCCAATATATGGATGCATCTCACAGAAGGGATTTAGTTGGACTATGGTGTAGGATGTAGACAGAAGGGGTTGAGGTGGATTATGGTGTAAGATGTACATAAAAAGGGTTAAGATAGATTATGGTGTAAGGTATAGATTGAAGGGGTTAAACCAAGAATGCCAGCATTAAATTTTCAATCACTAAAACCAAGTGGTGTGGAATCATAGTGACCCCATGCTGGCATTCTAGGGTTAAGGTAGATTATGGTGGGTGTAAACAGAAAAGGTGTAGGTAGATTAAGGTGTAAGATGTAGATAGAAGGGAGGTAGATTATGGTGTAAGATGTAGTTAGAAGGGATTAAGGTAGATTATGGTATAAAGTGCAGACAAAGTTAAGGTAGATTATAGTGTAAGGTGTACATAGAAGGCATTAAGGTAGATTAAGGTGTAAAGTGTAAATAGAAGGAATTAAGGTAGATTATGGTATAAGGTGTAGACAAAAGGGGTTAAGGTAGATTACGGTGTAAGATGTAGTTAGAAGGAATTAAGGTGTATTATGGTGTAAGGTATAGATAGAAAGAGTTAAGGTAGATTATGGTGCAAGATGTAGTTAGAAGGGATTAAGGTGGATTACAGTGTAAGGTATAGACAAAAGGGGTTGAGGTGGATTATGGTGTAAGATGTAGATAGAAGGGTTTAAGGTAGATTATGGTCTAAGATGTGGACAAAATGGGTTAAGGTAGATTATGGTGTAAGATGTAGTTAGAAGGAATTAAGGTAGATTATGGTGTAAGGTATAGATAGAAAGGGTTAAGGTGGATTATGGTGTAAGGTATAGATAGAAAGGGTTAAGGTGGATTATGGTGTAAGGTACAAAAAGGGTTAAGGTGGAATATGGTGTAAGGTATAGAAAGGGTGAAGGTAGATTAAGGTGTAAGATGTAGATAGAAGGTGTTAAGGTAGATTATGGTATAAGATGTAGTTAGAAGGGATTAAGGTGGATTACAGTGCAAGGTATAGACAAAAGGGGTTGAGGTGGATTATGGTGTAAGATGTAGACAGAAGGGGTTAAGGTAGATTATGGTATAAGGTGCAGACAAAGTTAAGGTAGATTATGGTGTAAAGTGTAAATAGAAGGCATTAAGGTAGATTATGGAATAAGGTGTAGACAAAAGGGGTTTAGGTAGATTATGGTGTAAGATGTAGTTAGAAGGGATTAAGGCAGATTATGGTATAAATGCAGACAAAGTTAAGGTAGATTATAGTGTAAGGTGTAAATAGAAGGCATTAAGGTAGATTACGGTGTAAAGTGTAAATAGAAGGAATTAAGGTAGATTATGGTATAAGGTGCAGACAAAAGGGGTTAAGGTAGATTATGGTGTAAGATGTAGTTAGAAGGAATTAAGGTGGATTATGGTGTAAGGTATAGATAGAAAGGGTTAAGGTGGATTATGGTGTAAGGTATAGATAGAAAGGGTTAAGGTGGACTATGGTGTAAGGTATAGATAGAAAGGGTTAAGGTGGATTATGGTGTAAGGTATAGATAGGGTTAAGGTGGATTATGGTGTAAGGTATAGATAGGGTTAAGGTGGATTATGGTGTAAGGTATAGAAAGGGTTAATGTGAATTATGGTGTAAGGTATAAATAGAAAGAGTTAAGGTGGATTATGGTGTAAGGTATAGATAGAATGGGTTAAGAAATTTATCCTACATTTGTTGTTGTTTTTTAAAAAGTAGCTGCAGTTGTAACTATATCACTGTAGAAGGGAACTTTTTAATATGCATATGCTAATATTTAACTTTACTTGACACTGAAGTTCTCCACACACTTATATTATTGATAGGAAATCTTACACATAATCATAAAACAGGTTGTTTTTTTGTTTTCTTTTAAAACTGTTCCATAGTCAAATGAGATAAAAGGGAACAAACTCTATTATAAATGCACACCAGGCAAATAAATAGTTTCCACATAAAAGTATTTAACACAGCAAAATATAGGTTTTACAATAACACCATTACGTTTGATGAAAGGATCTAGCTTTACTAGGTAACTGTCTTTTTAAGATAAGGTTTTCAATTAAAAAATAGGTAATTTTAAATATCAGATTGATAAAACACAAGATTCAACTGTACCAGCCAGTTGCTAACAACTCATCTAAGTAAATTTAAGAATAATACATACAAAAAATAGCAATATTATCAAAAAGTAGTATGTTTGTAACATTTGTGCTGATAAAAAGATAAAGCTAATTTTGTGTTTTTGAAACATTTGAAATAAACTATTTTAACTAAATAAAAACCATGACAACTATTACAAAGATCTTGTAAAAATTACACAACTCCTGCTTTAGTTAGGGTAAGAAATAAATTAATAAATATATTTTGTTTCAAACTAAGAAAAGTATCTTATGATAATTATCAAATTTCTACTCTTAAATTCCAAATAATTGAGTGAATATTCTGTGCTCAGAAGTAAAACTCATATAATCATCAAGCATATGCAAGATAGTTAAGCAATACATGCAAGAAACATAATCACTGGAATTACAGCTGTTTCATGCTCCACAAGAAATATCTCAGCAGGTATGATTTACAATTTAGTAACGTTGGTCAGTACTGACCAGCTGGGCAGAATCTTGGTTTGAAGTTGCGTGTTCCACATCAGGGGTAGCCGGAACACTATTTTCACTAGTGCCATACGTACGATTGTTGCTTGTGATGTACACATCTGCTCTAGACGACTGCCATTTCAGTACAGAGGGTACATAATCCTAAAAATGCAACATTTAAGATGTGATGTTGAAACAAGTTGAGCTGGTTTTAATAAAATATTTTAACATTTCAGGATAAATATCATAATGTCACTGGAATGTTACCGGGTGAAAAAAGTGAACAATAAAATGTACTTTTAAAAAATACAGGGTCAACTTGGCTCTGTAAATGTTTCTCCTAAATCTACCAAAACAAACTGTTAATAAGCTTTCCTTTTGAATGAGCAAAAGACTAATTAAAACAGAAGTTCAATAATCATTTAACTAGCACTCTCTTAATATGTAAAAACTTTTAATACAAATTAATACCAGTTAATGTGTCTTTATCTGCATGTTTCAGCAAAGCTACGAATGTTATGTGAGCAACAAGTTGAAATTATTTACCACTAAATTATTGATTATGGAACCAAGTCCAAAATCATGAATGCAATTTAACTTTTATTTTTTATGAAATAATTACCTCTGTTTCAAGAGATCTCTAATCAGATTGTCTAGCCAGCAGGCATCACTTACCACAACAAAAAAAAAAAACATGCTAAGTAATAACCACATAAAAAGTTATACCTTTGGTAACACTAACCTACAGTTGACCTTATTTGGTCTAGAACTTCAGACTTCCTTAAAAAACAGTAAATATGCATCAAACTGTTCTCATTGTCTTGTATGTTCAGGTTCAAAACAGCTGTAGAGTGGTCAAGGTTAACTAATGACAATACAGGGCAAAAACTAATTTGAAAAAAATGAATTCCAAATAATGTTGATGCCAAATCCCATTTCATTATTGATCTGAGAAAAGTTTTAATACATTCCTTGAAAATGATAAGCTTAGCCTGTTGAAAATACTTCTCCATCTATCAACTTTCAAAATCAGCCAACCACTGATTATGTGATCATATGTAATATGATGCCACCATGTAACTGTTCGATGACGAGGAACCCACTTTGAGACTAATAATGGCTGGAGACGGCTTGAATGGGTAATGATGATGACAAAACCTTGTCGAAACGTTGTACATTTGCTGTTGTATTAAAGTTTTTCTTCATTACCCATTCAAGCCGTCTCCAGCCATTATTACCATGTAACTGTGTTCAACTCGGGATCTGTCTTGGGAATAATAAATACACTTAAGTCTAAGATCTAGCAACAGTATCTTTCCTGGTACTCCAAACCTCATCCTTCTTTATATTCATCAAAATTCAAATTAATATCAATTAATTAATATAAAAAAAATATCAGTTAAAGGAAACAGATATGTAAATAAGTAATGGAGAAACTTACTCGTGATTCTTCAACTGGGGATTGGTTGGATACCAACTGTTTAGAGGTCTGTCTTTTTCCTAGTTTCTGAATGGAATAAATACAAACACAAAAATGATCAAACTGCTACTTTATATTCAAAGCATCTGAAGAAAGTACTGCAGCAATACACAGGTAAAAGAAACTTATCATTTACTGATACAAACTTATCATAAACAAAAATTATTACTATGAGAATGACCATAGCACTTCATTTTTTCCATAAAAAAACTGTTATAAAACGTTAAAACCATGCTGATTTGTTGGTAATACTTAGTACCTTCACAACAAAATGACTAGACCTGCCAACAATCACAACAATAAGTAAAGTATGCCAATATTCACATCAGTATGATCAAATCTGCAAACAATCACAATAATATGGCCAGATCTGTCAACATTTATAACAATAAGAGCACATGTTAGGTCTGCTAACATTCACATATAGTGCTTTGCAAAACTATTCACCCCCTACCAGTAATGTCACATTTTGATGAAATACAAATAATGTAAGCAACTTTTTTAATGAAGTTGGTTATATTCAAAACCCTAATGATCAAACTTAACACTGTTATGTGTGAGCAAGGTTGAATGTTAGCAAAACTTGCAAGGAAAATATATAAATTGAAAGTTATAATTTTCCTATACTGAAAATGTATTTCTGATAGGTACTTATCCAGAAAGTGGAAGCACCAGTTTTCAGTGGGGAAGAAGTGTGAGGGGAGAGTGATACTATCGGAAATACATTTTTAGTATAGGAAAATTATAACTTCTGATACAGTACATTACCTATTCTCACATAAATAGCTAGAATCCCTAGAAAAGAAATATCCTTCAAAAGCATCAGAAGTACAAACCTTGAGATGAGAGAGTCAAATCTGAAGATCTGATGTGGGAGACTGAACCGCGTCTGAACCAGGTATACTCTTCACCCATCAGAGAAAGGTGTGGTATATGTAGGCAGAAAAACAGAGGAACACTACCACATGTGTGGGAAAAACCAATGGAAGTGCCCTCAGGTGTAGAGTGGCTATGGCGCGACACTCCGCACTCAGCAAGTCAACTACATCCAAAACCCATGCCACTGAGAACCAACATCTACGCGAGGGTAGTATGAGGATCATACTGTCTTCACCTCAAGTTCAAGAGACCAGAGGGGATATCAAACCCCCTGACTACAGAACAGGGCGCATGTTAAGAAAATGATATACTGATCCAGGAACCCGACATCCGGTATCGAAAAGATGTCTACCATAGAGAAATCAACTCCCTCAACAGTTAAACTGACCTGAACCAACCCAGGCACAATAACATCCTCAGAATAAGATACATCAAGGGAGAGCAGAAGAGAAAGAACATAACAATCCCAAGTACCTCAACCATGACCCACAACACAGATAGAATATAATTGAGATAAGACGATAGACATCCGTAATACGTGTGTGAGGACATATGTTGATTGGTTCTACTCTAATTCCAAAACCTGGCCAAACTTTCCAAAGTTGGCGTACTGTAGTGCAAAAGTGTGGGCCCCCAAATTTAAGCGAGGCCCAAAGAAGGTCAGTTCATGGGACGATCAATCTCCCGATGAAGTAAAGCTGAAAATCTTCCCACAGAGTACCATGATCTGAAACCTGTGTAAAGTGCTAATAATAGAACAGAAAACCTCCGAAGTGGTAAAGGAAAATTCATAACACAAAATGAATAATCATACACAATTGTGTTGGCAGAAACAATAAAAGTTTTTTGTAATTAAGTAATAAGTTCCATAACCAGGTTGAAATATAAAATAATTCCACTTCAGAATAATGGAACAAGTTACAAATATCATTATTGTATAATAAAGAGTAAACTTGTGGAGAGAAATTAATACAAAGATATGGAAAAATATTAAAATAAAACACTTGAAGAGAGCACAAACTAAACATTAAAACATGAGTACTGCCAAACAAGAAGTGATAGTCTGGTAGAATTGAATAGAGAGAGTCATATGCGTAACAAGAGTGAGTGGCATTCTCATTGGTGGAGGGTGATGATTTGCATGAAAGACACAGTGGAATGAGTCATTTCCGATGGAGGGGAGTCAAAAGACAATGACATGCGTAAAAAAAAATTTGCATATAGAGGGCAGTACTGAACGAGAATAGCTATTTATGTAAGAAGAGATAATGTACTGTATCAGAATTTGCTGATTGCATAAGTATTCAGCCCCTAAGTCAGTACTTGGTGGAAGCACCTTTGACAGCAATTACTGCTGTGAGTCTTTTTAGACAGATCCCTACCAGCTTTGCACAATGGGATGATATAATTTTTGCCCATTCTTCCTGGCAAAATTGCTCCAATTTTAACAAATTCATTAGGGATCAATGATGGACTGCAATTTTCAAGTCTCACTATAAATTTTCTATTTGATTCCAGTCAGGACTTTGACTGGGCCACTCCAGGACATTAATTTTCTTCTTTTGAAATCACTCCAATTTGACTTTTGCCTTGTGCTTCGGGTCAATGTCCTGTTAAAATGTCAATTTTCGACCCAGTTTTAGATTCTTGGCTGACTCAAGCAAGTTTTCCTCTAGAATTTGCCTATACTTTGCATCATCCATCTTCCCCTCATTCCTGACAAACTTCCCAGTCCCTGCTGATGAGAAGCACCACCATGCTTGACAATTGAGATGGTGTTGACTGGGTGAGGTGCTGTGTTGGGCTTGTGCCAGACATAAAACCTAGAATTTAGACCAAAAGCTCAATTTTTGTCTTGTCTGACCATAAAACCTTATGTTACATGTCTGCAGTATCATTTACATGTTTTCTGCAAACTCCATAGCAGATTTAAGATGATTATTTTTCAGTAATGGCTTCTTTCTTGCCATTTGCCCATACAGGCCAGCTTTGTATAGGGACTGGGATATTATTGTATGAAAACTGACTACCATCACAGATATGCCACTTTGCAAATCTTTCAAAGTCACTGTTGGCTTCACAGTGGCATCCCTAACCAGTTTCCTGCTTCACCGGCTGCTTAGTTTGGAAGGATGGCCTGATCTGGGCAGTGAATGGGTGATATGAAACACATTCCACTTCTTAATGATGGACTTCACTGTACTAAAATGGATAATCAGCAACTTTGAAATTTTCTTGTAACCTTCTCCTGATCTGTGCTTCTCTATCACTTTATGCCTGACTTGTTTGGAAAGCTCCTTAGTCTTTATGGTTGGTTTGTCATATCACTCTGTGAGGTGTGACTTGAACAAATGCATTTATTCTGAAGTCAAGTTAAACCACTTTAGTTACACACTGAAACTGTTACACTAATTTTGTGTCCTTTCAAACTAATTTTTTGCACCTGAACTGATTTAGAGTTGCCATAGCAAAGGGGTTGAAAACTTACCCAATTGAGAATATGCTAATTTTCTTTGAAAATCTAACTTATTTACATAATATCCGTGTTTTTTAGCTTTCTCATGTGTGTTATATTTGACAATTTCACAATAGTATGTTATATCCGAAAAATTTCACAAAAGTTAGATACATCTGCCATATTTTACAAGGGTGTTCTAGATTTGCAAAATTTCTAAATGGTCTGCTAAATCTGCCAAATTTTACAGTGATATGTTACATATGGCAAATTTCCCATGGGAATGCTAAAATTGTTGGGAACACAAAATATATTTACAAAAATATATAATATCTCCCAACATTCACTGCAGTATCGTAAGTCTGTGAATAGTACTGTATTGGATGTGCCAACCTTTACAGTGGTATGCTAGATTTACCAAATTTCACAAGAGTATGCTATATCATAAAAATTTAACAAGGGTATGTTGGATCTGTCGACAGTATATATGACACCTGCTAAACTTTACAGACTCTCAGAATGCACAATTATATAGTTTTGTATTTAAAGAGGTATTTCACTTCTTCAATGAATTTCAGACATTTCATATAAAACTGTTTTTTTCTAACAAGTAAAAATAAAAATACTGAAACAAACCATTTGATAGTCTTGGAATTGCTTGTTACAAGCAGTTCAATACATAAAGCAACAAGCAGTATCTCAACAGCATCATGCAGTATTAAACCTTCCAATATCACAAGTTCAATATCTTTTACTACCACATCCTCCCAAAAGTTATTCTAACTAACAATATCGAAAGAAACTGTTTAATAACTGATCTTGGTTATTAATCAAAAGTTTTTCATCTTCTTCTTTAGAATTGTAATATTTAACATTACCTATAACAATTTTAATAAAGAAAAACAAGCACCAAGAATATTCTGCTTAACAATGTTGAAAGAAGAATATCAGATCTTACCTTGAAAGTTACTGAACTAAGCTCTTTGAACCAGTTCAATAAGACCTACCAAAGAATATCAAACCTTACCTTGTAATTCACTGTAGTGAGTTCTTTGAACCAGTGAGAAACTACTGTACCTGAAGAAGGCTATCAGATCTTACCTTATAAGTTACTGGACTGAGTTCTTGGAACCAGTGAGAAACTACTGTACCTGAAGAACGCTATCAGATCTTACCTTGTAAGTTACTGGACTGAGTTCTTTGAACCAGTGAGAAACTACTGTACCTGAAGAAGGCTATCAGAACTTACCTTGTAAGTTATTGGACTGAGTTCTTTGAACCAGTATGAAACAACTGTACCTGAAGAAGGCTATCAGATCTTACCTTGTAAGTTACTGGACTGAGTTCTTTGAACCAGTATGAAACTACTGTACTTGAAGAAGGCTATCCGATCTTACCTCGTAAGTTATTGGACTGAGTTTATTGAACCAGTGAGAAACTACTGTACATGAAGAAGGCTATCAGATCTTACCTTGTAAGTTATTGGACTGAGTTCTTTAAACCAGTGAAAGAAGACCTGCCCGAAGAAGACCATCAGAGTAAAGATGAATATCGATAAGGTCACTATTGTGATGTTGCTCCAACCTAAACAACATTTATAATCAAAATAAAACAATCTGATACCAAGTTTTCACTTAAGAAATTCTAAATCTTTCATTCCTGAAGTCTTTCTTATGTGACATAAATAAAAGATCTTTAATATCCAATCATTTATTTTACCAATCACTGTCAAGCAATTTTCTAGTCACAACGTATAACATTATAAAGACCCTTAATCTTTTAAAAGGTGGTCTCCTCTTGTGTAAGAGTATTGTCTTGCATCTTCCAACTCCTCAAGGAAACTGTATTTGTCAAAAATTTATGCTAAAAATTTCTGAAATGAACAAATAAATTTCAAAATGTTTCTGAGTACTCTTCTATAAGATTTTGTTTATATAATTAACCATTGTGGTTTTTTATACAAACAAGTTTTTATGGTCTTTCAGCCCACAAAATTCACACAAAAAATACACAATTTGTAAAAATTTGTAAAGAAAAATTAAGAACAACAAAATACACACACACACATACATTTGTTGTGCATAAATGAATATAAGAACTTTACCATCTCTTCCAGGAAATGAACTTAAGTTGTTGCAATGTTAAACAATAAACCATACAGTAGGAGCCAAAAATCACATTAAAAGAGACACCATTACAAACTATAACACCAGAATACCATGCGTTATTACTGTAATCATATTTAGTCACCAACAGCAAATCACAACTCACAGTAGCCACTGAGGAAGACAACAGACTGTCAAAACATTGGCAGGTTTGTTAACAATTTTGTTTTAATGACATTGTTTTAACTTTGTGTTTTGACGTTAATTTTTTTATAGCATGTCAGTTAAAAAGGCTTATAATGTTATTTAATCAGAAAATAAAAAATTATATTGTTCATTGGAATATTCTAACATACTACAAAATTAAATAGAAGACTACATAGTTGATTAAATGAGGATTGAAATATTTTAATACTAACCTGTTATAAGAAAAAGATTATTAATGTAACATAGTCAGAGATACCAACCATAAATGATGTAAAGTTATCTAAAAAATCTGAATCTAGACACAAATACAACATGACTTACCTTCTATGTCAGTAATCTATCATAAGTACAAAATGCATGATTTTTCACTTGTTTTAGAGGGTTTAATACACTGTCAAAGAACAGTATAATCAGACTTAAATTTCTACAATATCTACATATCAAGCTGCCATTTATAAATTTTGGGCTGAATTTTATTTTTTTTATGATATTATTTCTGCTTTTACTTTATGGTTAATATTTAGGTAGTAAACTTAGGTGTGACATTTTTTATTTTTGTCTATTTCTTTTCAATTATTTTATTTTTATTTTATGGTGGCTTTCCAGTAGGGAACTCTTTCCCTCTGTAGTTTTTTGGATACATATACTTGGCTAAATAGCTTTCATTTCAACATCTTTTTGAAGAAACTAATATGTTAGTCCTAATTTCTGAATGGGCTACCTACCAATAAGATTTTTGATTGGCAGAGATTCAGTGTTATTTAAAACTGGTTTTAATACAGCAGCAAAGTACAAATGCTTAAATGGAAATAATCTCAAAGGTGAATTTCATTTCACCCCTCATAAAAAGCTACAGGATTATATTATACCAAACCAACATAACATTAAAAAAATTGTAATTTAAAGGTATGATCTGGAGTTCAATATCAGAATGGTGGGCATCTTTGTTTCTTGCAAGATTAAACGGAAGATCAACAGTGTTTATTGATAGAATAATACCTACCTGTTCTAAGAAGTGAAAAGAAGAAGAGTGTAACTTGTTGCAATATTAAACAGAAAACCACATAGTTGATTGCTGACATGTGAATATTTTGGTTTATTTTAGAAACACCATAAGCAAAGTAAATATTGTATCGGTCCACACAGTGCTTGAAACACAAGTATACCAGACCTATAATAAACAAAAATATACAGCAATTGGTTATTTCTATCAAGAACATTTCTTAAATCAAAACAGAAATTTTGGCAAAACTTACCGAAAGTTAAATGCAAACTAACAAGTATAACTTTTTAAATGCATGTTCTTTCAGTTGTATCTTTGAAATATTTTTGACTTTGGGATTATACAATTAATTTTACATGTTCTTACATCACAGTTCATTTAACCTTTTCACTGTTGAATTAAAATGAGCATGTGACCCCAAAGAGTTGCATACTATAACTGTTAACATGTTTTGCGTCTCTTCATGAAATTTTTCAAGCTTTGAGTAAATATTACAAGTCTTTCGTAAACAAAAAATTAAAATTTTTAATTAAATATTGTTACTAAAACTTTACCCATGAATATATGGAATCAGAGAACTGGCATGGAGTCAGTGTTGACTGATTTTAAGAATAAAAAATTTTTGTTCATCTTCTTCATTTGCATAATCTCTACATCTTTTTAAATAAATATCAAATATTCATTTTCACTAAAACTTTGTATTTTATCTGTTATTTTCTCTACCTTAATTCTAAACACATTCCTTCCATTTGACCAAACATATAACTGCCAATATTATTAAATTTGACATATCAAATTACTATACTGGTACACATAAAATCATTGTAGCTTTTATGGCTTTCTAACTAAGCAATGTGCGAGTTTAAAAAACCTCATTTCTGTTCAAAGCAATGACTTACTCAACATTTCCAATAAAACTGCAGCTTTCCCCTTGAAGGTGGGATGTTCTTATTTTATATTCTATCTTGTCAGCATCTAATTCATTAACTACTCTAGATGTTGTATGGTACGCATAATACAATACAAATTGAGCAATAAGACAAGAAAAGTTATTTTGTATTTTGTTTTTAATATTTTCTTTTGAATCAAAACATTAAAACACATATAAACTACATTTTGATGCCAATTTTATTGATATACAGTGATAATAAAGTTGTTTAACTAGATTTTAAAAATAACTAAAATATCATGGCATGCTCTTTAACCTGTCCATATTGAGAGAGTTAAAGACACAACCTGGCATAGCTGCATCAAACTGTAAGTACTATTGTATGAAATTCAAATGAGTAGTGAAGATATGATTTTGGTGTATTGTTCTATATCAGTAAAGGTGTACTGATCTTACCAAATGGTGCAATTAAAGGACATGGCAAGCAGTAGATAATCACCATGGCAAAGATGAGTAAAAACCAAGCATATTGCACTCCAAATTCAAATTCCCATAGGACTGCCTGAAAGAAACATTTTTAGCTTTCATGTACACATAATATCACAAACACACTGAGCACATAATCAACTTTAAAGAATTACTTATTGTGAAAAGAACAATACATTCAACAATACCCTTTACATAATTGGTGGTAATATTTATTCCCATATTTGGAGAATGACTGGAAGCTTTAATGTATAAGCTTGGTATCTTCAACCTGAGCCATACCTTAAGCAACACATGGGTTAAACTAGCCCATAGTATCACAAGTCCTAAGATTCAGGTTTTGCCATTCTTACTTTACAACTGCTGAACAGACAGAGGTTAAACAATCAGCAACTTCTGCTGGCTGATCTTAGTTTAATGGGCTCAAACCTTGGACCTTTTCTCTTATTGTCATTGTTAGTAGCCTATACAATCACTCAAGTCTAATTATTAACTAGTTAATACTTTTAATTACCAGATGCTAATTACTAACTAGTTGTATCTTAGATATCAGCTGCTAAGTTACAGGGAAGTACCATGAATGACTGTTTCTTTGGTGGTGGTGGATGGAATTTGATCCTCAGTCTTTAGAGAGAGAGGTTCTGCTAATGGCCATTTACTTAAGTTAATTACTTCACATTTAGGACTATTCATAGTGTTATGATGCTTCTTCCCTTAAAAACATTTTCATTAAAAAACAATAACTCATCAGTGATTGTATTTAAGTGATCATATAAGCTAATAACCATAACAACAATAAAATATGGTTGACAAAACCTTACCCTAAGTATTTACTTGGACCTTCTGATCTGCAGTTTGATATGCTAATCATTAAGACATGCTAATATAATGTATATTTTCAATGGAATGCAATCAACATGTGCTCTAATAACACATGATGCAGAAGTTTACATACACAATGTGATAGTAAATTAAGTAGCAATAAGGTTTCTTAAATGAGTAGAAAGAAAAAAAACAGACCAAGAAAAATAAATCAGTAGCTCAGCTTTTCTGATCCCATAATTACAAACATTCTACATACTAGTACTAGTAAAAATCTAGTGATGCAGGGAGATGCAAAAGTCATGCCCTACCATGATTTTTCTAAATTCTGTCATTTCAGATGTTTGAAGCATGCAAATTTACTTCACTTACATTCTTGCAGGGTTAATAACATCTCAACCAATTACAGTAAAAAAAAAGAGAGAGAAAGTGAAATACAAATATGACATAAAGAAATCATAGTAAGTGTGGGAATTATCATAGAGATGTGCAACTTTTATCTGTATTTAAAGAGCACTTATGCAGTGATCCCATTTTCAAAATCCATTCCAACATATGATGGAGTTTACATGAAAAAATAAATATTCCAAACCTAACAACTAGTTATATTCGTTGATGTGTTTAAACAATGTCCTTCTTCCTCATAATATTTTATTAGATTTGTTCTTGTACTGTTTTTTATCTCAGTATGATTCTTTCCTTAATGCATTCTTTTTTAAAAACTGTGTTCAGTAAATTCCTTCACACTTTGTTAGTGTTCTACATGTCAAGATGTAGAAACAAACCTTTCTGATGCCAAGTTGCTCAGCAATAGATCTTGAGAAGCAGAGGCGAAGAACATACATTAACAACTCAGGAAAGCGTACGAGTTGAAGTGCCGTTCCAATGAATGCAGAGGTTATGATGTAATTCACAAAGAATGCTCCATTATCTGGCAAAAACACACACCTGAAAGATGTACAATTACAGTTGATTCAAGACAGATACCTGAATGTTGTGTACCTCAACCTATACTAACCAAGTTATTGCAATAACACAAGAAATTGTGTTCTTAAAGTACATTTGGTTTGTATGCCACATTTATTAGCAATATAACAGTTTCAATTCAATCAGTCACAGAACATGTTACTCTGGTTTAGAACCTCAGAGATGATAGGCAGTGAGATTAGAAGTGTGATTACCACTCAGTTAAAGGTTTGGTTAACTTTACCACATGGAATTCCATTCCTTACAGGTTTAGGGTAGGGAAGTTACAAGAGCAACTATCACTCACCATCAGGATGTAAGAAACTTCATTGGGTAAAGATTACGAGTGGTTTAGAATAAAATAAAAAAACTTTTACAAGAACATCCACAAATTAAAATTAACCACTTTCCATAATTTTCTAAATTCACAAATTAATACAATTGAGTTTCAAACCCACCTTCTTTTAACATTTTGCTTTACTTAGAAACCCTTGGAAGAAAAAGGATTGTACTTACTCCCAACGATAAGTTTCATTTTTTGGTCGAACTGCCCACTCCAAGAAAGCTTTAGCACTATAACAACAAGATCTCTGTTAATATAGTCCTGGAAATCACATAAACAACTAATAAAATCTGATCCATTTAGTTATGTATGCATATATAATGTTATACAAACTAATTTTTACAAAAAGTGTTGTCTCATCATATTTTATCCACACACAAAAACAGTGTTAACCTGTGTAAAGTTAAGTAAAATTAAAGCACAATAGAAAGATTCTAAACCCAAGTGGCCTTAAATTCCCAATGAAAAATATACTAACATAATTAAAGATTGTTGAAAGAAGAATCACATTGTACATACCTCAAACATAAATAAGAAAAACGTAAATGGCATTTAAAAACATACCGGGAATGGGCATAGCCTTATGAAAGAAGATCATATGCTAAAATTCACAGCTTCCTGGTGCAGCTTTCTGTAAAGCTACATTACACACTAATAAATCTAATAATTAGGAACAACTTCTTATATTACATGTGATATGTCCAACAATACTGAACAGCTTCTTGTATTACGTGTGATATGTCCAACTGTACTGAACACATTCTTGAATTACATGTGATATGTTCAACAGTACTGAACAGTTCCTTGTGCTATATATGATATATTAAAATTCAGAACAATTTCTTTCTTGTATTACATGTGATATGCCTAACAATTCTGAACACTTCTTTGTATTACAAAAAGCTTTAAAACATCTTACTCCCATGTTACTCCATACTCATAGTAGCTTTATGACATTTCCTGATTGGCTTAAGGACATGTCAATTAGTGATTGCCTTTCTAGATACGTTGATCTGACTCATTTTATAAGCTGTACTATTTCCTATAGATCATTTTCCAGACGGTTCTGCTATGATTAGTATCTGGCAAAAAGCTTCAGCAGATATTTCCTTTGCAACATCTCAACCAACAATTAGTCCAGTTATCAATGCTATTTTCAAGTTTTAAACAACTCAACTTTCAAGATCTATATATCTACATGTGCCAATTTTTCTGTTTATCAACGTTATATTTTAAGATCTGTGCAAGATCTCAGCAAACAGATGTTTCCACATATAAAAACAATGGTAATTACTACACAAAGTTAGCTTGGCATTTAACCTTATGACCACCAGCATCAATTGATTATTTACCAACATTAAGTCTTATTTCATGGCATTAGAGTACAATTTAATCATTACAAAAGTTTTAGAGGCTCTGATAAGAATTATGTTTCATTTACCATGAGTAAAAATTCAATGATTAATAATGTATATATGTTTATTAGATACTCTTGTTTGATATCTTGGCAATAGCAAATTTAACAAAAGTTTGTTTCAATCTTTACTTGCATTTTCAACCATCACAAATTTCCAACAAAGTACTAACCATGACAACAAAACACCTACTGACCTTGTTAATCCCAAAGAAGGTAAAATAAGAACCATAAATAAGAGAAACACAAATGTCTTCTTCATTATAGCATTGTTTCTTGATGATCTGCAGTATATAGAAATTGAAACAATTAAGATATATATTTAAAAATATAAAGCATAAAATGTTCTTTGTACTAAAACTAAAGCACTTTGACAAGTTCAAGTTAACATTTTCCTAAACTGAAAACATATTTCTTATAGATACTAACCTCCTTTCACAAAAGCTTTCTGTTATACTGCTCTCTATTGGCAAAAATCTTTACTCACCACTAGTCTTAATACTCCCACTTATTTCTGCATATTAAAATACAAAGGATTATGCAGAAAACCTCCTCCAATAAGAGTGCAACACTACCCCTATCGTAACTAGTGCCCTGTTAACTACCACCAGATTGGTCACATCACATCAAAACACACCAGAAGTGTGGAGAACAGGTGGGAAATGTGAGAGAAGCTAAGTATCTAACGGAAATACATTCTCAGTTTAGGAAAATGTTAGCTTCTGATACAATATCTCACCTCCTCCCACAAAAAGCTAGAATCTTACATTGAACTGGTAGAGGGCCAGTGAGAAGATGATTTCCATTTAGGAAATGCCCAAAGGAAAAGATAGTGTGAGAAGGAATTAAAACAACACACGTTTGGGAGACCACACCACTTCTGAGCCAGGTGTACTCTTCACCCTTTGGTAATGTGTCACCAAAAAAATACAGAAATAATAGAACCCCTGCTATAGAGTGGCTAGACAATAAATGAGAGTTTGACCTCAACCAACACCTGCCGGCATCTAGAACTGTACACAGCGTGGTCACAATTAAATAGACACCACCTTTACAGAAAAAATGAAATTTTTCAGTCATATTCATATGAATTGATATATTTATAATTTACTTAATATCTGGTAGATCTTCCTTTCGCTTTGTGGAGTTTGTTGATCCTTTGGGGCATTGTGAGAATCATCTCATC